AATCGACACATTGTTTAGTTCTCTCGAATGCTAGAGTTAAGTGATTGGAAAAAAAAAGTTCATTTATTATTACTTTTATTTCGTGATAATATTAAGATAAAAGTTTAAACTTATTCTAAATATTTATGTTGAGAATTGCAGATGATTACAAATGAATTTTTCCACCAATAACTGGAAAAACCTTTTCATCTTGTTGTTAATTATATTTATAAGATACTATAACTTGTGAAAATTGTAAGTTTGTCCAGAAAAGTATAGATCTCAATCAATTGGTAATGGTTATCAAAAGTGTTTTATAATTATTAAAAAGTACATTTCGAAGCAGGAAAAGGACATCCTTACCGTTTAATAGAACGATATTTAATGATGGATAAATTTTTTGATTTTCTAAATGTTTTATTAATTTGCCGTTTTTGATTACGTACAGTTAATTCTTCCATGAATGGAAATGATTGAGCAATTCGAAGAAAAAATTCATGTTCAAAAGAGCATTCATCAAGTAATGATGCTGTACAAACATATTTAAATATTCCACCTGGAAAATTATTCGTTATATCATCGTAATATTTCCATTTATATGGATATGAATAAATACGACAATCATCTTTTTTTCTTTTTCGAAAATAATCAGTCCGATAGATAATTTGTTTATCATTAAAATCTCTAAATGTCTTTTGAATATCTTCATTTGCGGGTGTGGGTGTGGGTTTGAGTTAAATGAACAATTATACTCACACCCACACCCACCCTAGCCACACCCACACTCACCCTAGCCACACCCACACCCACCATAGCCACACCCACACCCACACCCACACACTTCTAAATTCTAGACTCATCTCTCCATATAAGCCCATCTTTTTTCAAGACGGGAAGAGTAGGGCGAGTTGGTGGACTTCTGAATTCTAGAACTACACGTTTCCTGGGTGTGTGGGTGTGGTTTTAGTCTTGGAAACTATAGTTAACACTGACAGTGACACCCACTCCCACCCACATCTCACACCCTTTATCACTAATATACTTGAATTGTTTCAACAACAAACTAAGTAGAAAAACTTTTTGAATAACAGGTTCTATTGCATCGAATAGCTAACCAAACTTGGTATTATAGCAACAATAGTCTAACAAAATAAAAGATATGTGTTCTTGATTATGCATTGCTGCATGTTTTTTATGAATTACTTAACAACATTCAGTAAAACAATATTATGAAAACAAAACACATGATCAAATAGCTCAATTTTTCATTTTTTGCTGCTTGATTACTGTTGTAAGGGGGTGCTGTTATATTTACATTTGTTTGATTGCACATCGTGTTGATGCATCCGAGTAATTTAGAAACGTAAAACATTCCGTCAGGAGTGTTTAGAGTTACATTACCTAGTTTAACTGCCTCTATCAAATCTGTCATTGTCTGATTAATTATTGCTGTACTGTTTGTTTCATTTGACATTAAATCCTTATCAACAATAAGTAATGCAATGATAAACTGATTTGAATTTGAAATTACACTTGCATTTAAATGATAAGCAAAAAAGTCCAAACGCTTAAGGTTCCAATTTAACAGATGTGCCATTGATCCTCCGATTAAAGTAGCCAACTCATTTAGATTCGTAGCAGCACTTTTCGTTTTCGATAAATTATTAATCGTTAGATGAACAGAACGTACCGGAATATTTTCATAGTAAACATGAAAGTCGCTGCATAAATAGCTTGTTTCGAGATAGCCAGTTAAACTTTGATAAGGAACATCAATCATGGCCTCTTTAACTATCCAAAACACTCTCCACCAATCAAAAACATTTAAGAAACAATATGATAATAATAAATCTCCTTGTTTGGGATATACATAACATTCCGTATGAGACTTAAACGCTGTATCACGAATCTCTTCACATGTTGTTGTTATAAACGGTCTTAATAATGGTACAAGCTTCATCTGTAAACATTTTCTAACAGCATCAATCCATGTCTGTCCATTCTCAGAAAATTTATTATAACTGGTTGAATATAATTCACAAAATTTGTTTGCATACGACAATGCATAAGCTGCTTCTGTAGATTCGCACTGATATTTTTTCTCCAAACAATCCTTATACCATTCACAACTAGTACCATCGGGACTGTAACATTCTGGTGGAAGTGTAAAAAGTGGGGCATTCGTACTGCTAGTAGAAGCAGATTCGTCACACACACATGATCCGTACACTGGCCCTTGTTGAACATCATATATTTCAATCATACATTGGTACCAACAGTAAGTTGCTGATGAATAGACACAAGAATATTTTCCTTGAGATTTCTCTTTAATGTAAGCATTTGTTAAGCATGTTGCCCATTGTTTCTTATTATATGGAGGATTGTTGATCAATACACATTCTGTTGAACCGGATGGACCTGTATTAGAATCACAATCACCATTCACCAATATACACATATAACATCCAATTACAATGTAAGAATATAAGTGCAATATTATCATGGTCTAAAACAAGGAAAAGTGTTGGACCAGGATAGCGTCATTGGACCAAAGACCGTAATTCTATGTTCCTGTATATACACTACTGGCCATAAGTCCCTGGATGTGTCATACTCCCCACGGCTTCGATAATTTTCTATCAAATTTTTACCACAGATAGAGCGTTAAGAACTGCGATCGCCAGCACTGATCCGAACTCTATTGACTGAGATAGTATGGAGTTATGATTCAAACACTAGTTTCAACTCTGTTTACCTATAAACCAATATTCACACTTTTTATGAAAAATAATCGAAATGATAGAAGTCTTGTTTAATCTCTAAATTATTTCTTAGCTTGTTAATGTTAACTGATTTCGCGGTATAGGAATACGTAGTGAGCATTTATTGTTCGTAATTGTATGCGATTGCATACATGTAATTTCTCAAAGCACTCTCATCTTCTATTATCCAATAATTAGTCAATAATTTGACAGAATTGCTTTTGTGCGGAAAAGTATAAAGGGTGTGGGTGTGGGCGGTGTGGATATGGGTGTGGGTGGGTGTGTGGATGTGGGCGGGTGTGGGTCTGTGGGTGTGGGTGTGTGGGTGGGTGTGGGGTATGGATATCGGTGTGAGGAATAGTGAGAGTGAGTGTGGTTGTGGGCATAAGTTTGGCTAAGGGGGGGGGGGGGGGGGGGGGGGGGGGGGCTGGATGTGGGGGGGGTGGTGTGTGGGGGGGGGGGGGGGGGGGGGGGGGGGGGGGGTGGTGGTGACTGTGGGTGGGCATGAGTATAGATGTGAATCTTGCTTGATCCAAGATAAACCCTCACTCATGCGCATAGCCATAAACAGCCGCCACACCCATACTCATGACACCCACGCGCATCATATCCACATCGACATCCATATCCCACAACCACAACCACATCCAGAACCAATAGCAACATCCACTGCTACAGCCATTCACATCTACACCCACGCAATCACTCACACACGCTCACCCTAAAGCAGCTGCACTATCCAAGCAGACAAACATTTTCAAAAACGCGTTTAAACACACAAAAAAGGGCTTAAAATCCACAAAAAGTGGACGTGTTCGGCTCACAATCGCGGTTCCCTATTGTCAGCGAAAAATAGCCACTTTTTGCCCTTTTTGTGCGTTTAAACGTGTTTTCAGAAGAAAAACGCGTGGAAACGTATAAAACGATCATAAAAAGTTGTGATCTTTTTCATAGTCGTCAATCACAATCATAATTACAATCACAGTTAACAAAAATGAAAAAGATAACTACTTTTTATGTTCTTTTTATGCGTTTATACGCGTGTGCAAGCGTTTTTCTTCTGAAAACGCGTTGAAACGCACAAAAAGGGTAAAAAGTGGCTGTTTTTCGCTGACAATCGGGAACCGCGATTGTGAGCCAAACACGTCCACTTTTTGTGAATTTGAAGCACTTTTTCGTGCGTTTAAACGCGTTTTTAAAAATGCTTGTCTGCTTGGGTAACAAGCTTTCTCTTCTATTTTAGAAGTTGATGAGATCTAAATTTAATTGTCACTATCGAATTGATTTGGCGTTCGAATTTTGTTGATCAAAACTATGGTGAAGAAATCTCAAATTAAGTTTCTGAAGTATCGACTTCTTGATAATAATATTCCAGGATAATCTAAATTGACTCGCTTTTCAACAACAACTACAAACCTTATTCAATTTGACTCAACGAACAATTTATTCCATTAAAACGGATGAGATATCATTGAAACATTAGGAAATTCTCCGTCAAGATTGCTCTAATTTGCTCATACTCTGCTGAGGGTTTAGACAATTTATCTGAAAACTTTCATACTATTTTCAATCTCTCTCGATTATAAGAAGAAAAAAGTCCTAACTATCTGATTGCTTTTCGGAGTGTGTATCTTCTTTTTAGCAACAGATCATACCTCTTAGTGTCCAATGCATAGAAAAACTCGTGTTATTTAATATACTTACGGTCATTATTCATTATCTGCAACATGCTATTAAAAATAGAATCCAAAACTACAAAATCACTGACTATATGTTTTCGCAGCATAAAGAAAGCTGCCAATTATGCTGATGATCGTGTCTACATCTTATACAGCAAAACTTAAGCGTTTTATAACTGACCTTCTTTGTTATACAGCAATGTGTAGCTGCACCCATGCACCCATGTGAAAATGTTTGCCTTTGTAAGCTATTTTTAAGCGGCTTAAATAAGCTTACACTTCAATTAAGTGCTTTAAAGCGCTTAAATACTACGGTCTTAAGCTGCTGAAAGCGGCTTCAACTAATTAAGCCGCTTAATATAGCTTACAATGCGCTTTGAGAAGCGCTTTCCAGCGCTTATCATGAAAAGTGCTGAAAAGTACCGTCGATTTTTATTTCTTTAAGCGCTTTCCAGCACTTATCATGGAAAAAGCTGAAAAGTACTGTGAATTCTTATCCTTCTAAGCACTTTTCAGCACTTATCATGAAAAAAAGCTGAAAAGTGCTGTAAATTTTTATTCTTCTAAGTGCTTTTCAGCACTTATCATGAAAAAAGCTGAAATCCATGTGAAAATTTTTGCCTCTGTAACTGGCATCCCACTCCACCTCTTTTCCCTCCTTTTCCTCTTTTCTTTCAAAATTCCTCTTTTTACACTCTTTTTTCAGAAAAATCCTCTTTTTCCTCTTTTCTCACGACAAAGTAGGCTGCTGGCGAAAACATCCATGAATATATTGATTAATGTTACCATATCATACAAAAATATCACATAATACAAACTGATGTGTAGATCAATCGAGTTGTATAATTATGGAGGCTAAAGTAGATGATTTTAGTGATCAACTCCAGTGATATTTTATATTCCTAATTGAGACTCAATTTTTATAACTTTCTAGAGTAGGCAAAATCACTCAATTATATTTTCGATGTGAACTCATCGTTTTCTCACGATCTTGGCAAGTTTTTCTGGTTAACATCGACATGTAAAATCATAATCGTGAGCTTACTTTTCTTGACCGTTTTCTCGGCGTCACAGAAGCTCGTGATGTAAATCTAACAATGGATAACTATCTCATAGCGTAACGCATGCGTCAAAGTGAGAAGAAGTCTCCAGAGTGGCTAGGCCTATCCTAGAATCCTGTCAGATCCGATGGGATTTCTTCGGCAAGATAGCTTCCGACACTATGATGTCGTAAGTTAAAGATTTCTGCTTATCAGATACCGATAAAGGTTTTCATGTTGTATCCGGCAATATTTGATCCTTCAAAATTGCTGCGATCATTACAGATCCCGTGGTGCGCTGCTAGATTACCTTATGCGATTGATTTACTGTCAAAACGAAGTAACTCTTCTCCTTCCGAGTTTCTCCGTGTACAATCACATTTTGGACGATCGTATATCTCCAAACCGTACATGGAGAAATATGATCTTATACGAAGAAACACAGAGTAAAATGAAAGCCGTATACGAGCTTTGTTTGTTCATAAACGATCGTATTTCTGCGCATACGATCACGGAGTTATACAATCGTAATACTGGGTAATGTAAAACGCCGCATTTCTCCGATTACAAGCGTGTTTGCTTGGCATAGGTTAATATTGACAACGATTTGATGATACTTGGAAGAAATCAGATATGATGGAATGCGATAGCGACAAACAGGGGCGCCTCGATGACCAAAAAGCAGGGAATCATATAATCTACCCAATACAAATAAGTCCTTTTCTACAGAACGCAGAAATATCACCATATTTCACTGGGAAAAATCAAGCGTTTTCGATAGCACGGGGCCAAACAATTTTTCAAAACCTCGCTGTCTGGATACCATTGCAACCAATGTATTAATTTACGCTGGGAAACGGAAAAGTGAAACTGACTTGAGAAAAACGATCAAAATCATGGAAGAATTGCTGGAAATTGCAAAAAACGAAAAAAATACCTTTCTCACATGTGCAGTCATCTGAAAAAAACGAACAAAAAGCAAAAAAGACATTTTATGAATTCTGATCGTTTCTATTTCTGTGTGCCTACTTAGTCAGATAGAGTAATATTATAGTCAGATAATACGCAAATAGAATAGACTATTTTTCTAATGTTTTCCCGTTTTCTAATGCATACATAACCAATTGCACAAACATCTCTATGAACAAGTGGAAGTTTCGTTTCGTTTTTACTTTTTTCAAGTCATATTCAATCTGTATTGATAACGTACGAGTTTTATTGGATTTATACTACTATTGTGCCGATGGGTTTTAGTTTTCTTCGGACAAAAACTGTGTGCCGCTTTTTCTCCTCTTTTTTCCAAGAATGCTGTGCCTCTTTTTTCCTCTTTTTTTACAAAGTGTTGGTGGGATGCGAGCTCTGTAAGCTACTTTGAAGCGGTTTAAATAAGCTTACACTTCAATCAAGTGCTTTAAAGCGCTTAAACGTTACGGTCTTAAGCTACTGCCAGCGGCTTCAGCTAATTAAGCCGCTTAATATCACTTACAATGCGCTTTGATAAGCACTTTCCAGCGCTCATCATGAAAAGTGCTGTAAATTTTTATGCTTTTAAGCGCTTTGTGGCGCTTATCATGAGAAATGCTGAAAAGTACTGTAGTCTTTTATTCCTTTATGCGCTTTCCAGCACTTTTCATGAAAAGCGTTGAAAACTACTGTAAACTTTTATCTTTGGAAACTTGAAAATGCTGTTATCTTTCATATGTTAAAACGACACCCATGTGCAAATTTTTGGCTTTGTAAGCTATTTCTCACCAGCTTAAAAAGCTAACCCTGCAGTAAGCTACTGTAAAGCGCCGAAGTACATCCATTTCAAACTTCTGAAAATTACTTCGCTAAGAAAAGCCGCTTCCCAGTCAGACAAAAATTTTGAAAAACGCGTTTAAACGCACAATCGGGGACCGCGATTGTAAGCCATTAACGGTCATTAAAAAAAACGCACGAAAACGCGTTTATTGGCGTTTTCTGTAACTTTCTGGG